GCACAAAGACTTCACTTAGAGAACTAAGGTGTGCCTGGTCTAAGCCATGTTATTTTTAAACACCTGGTATGTATGTGAAAGCTGGACAACGAACAAGGAAAACTGGAGCAGAAATGATGCATTTGAACTGTGATGATGGTGAAGAATACTGAATATTCCATGGACTGCCAGAAGATGTACAGCCAGAATGCTCCTTGGAAGTGAGAATGGTGATACTTTGTTTCATGTACTTTGGATATGTTATCAGGAGGGACCAGTCTCTGGGTAAGGACATCATGCTCGATAAAGGTTCAAACATAATACTTCTGAGGATGGCATAGGACTGGACAGTATTTCATTCTGTTGTACATAGGATCACTATGAATAGGAACCAACTCAAAGGCATCTAACAACAATAGTAGGGCTAGATGGCATTCACCTAAGAATTGTAGAGAAACTCAGAGATAGAACTGAGAACCTATTAGATAAAATAGGCCACATCATTTAAAAAAAATCAACAAAGCACCTAACAATTGGGAGTGGTGTTCTTGGGAACTATAACTTGGTGAGTCTATTTTCTATACCTTAAAAACTGATGAAATGCATACAATATCATATTAGTGAACAAAGCTTGCTAAAGAAAAAGAGCAAATTATTTCTGTAAGAGGAATATGATACTTTCCTAACTTATTACTTTTCATCCATGGAAAGAAAGCAAACATGCTTGTAAAACAAGATTCCCATGAATTAATATTTACAATATAACATAAAATTAGTTGTAAGAAACTAATATAGGAAAGTATAAAAACTATAGCTACAGATGATAATTGATTAAATGTATAAGTCTTTGGGGATTTATGCTATAATTTGTAATTATATGAATTTTGTAAATGATTTAGAATGCATAATATATAATAAAATTTCCAAATTTGGATGGGATACCAACTCCTCTACGTAACATAAGGCCAAGCTTAAGAGAATAAACTCCAAAATTTTGTCCAAAGGTGTATGATTGGGCAGCACAGTACTAAATAAGTCTCATTATTCATTGTTGATAGCTATCTGGGGAAATCATTCCCAAATTATGCTTATAAGATAATGAGCTCTGTTTATCATTTGTGCACCAAGAAAGAATATTGTTAACACCAAAAAAAAAAAAAAAGGATGCTATAAATAAAGCAAATAAATCATCATTATCTTACCTCAGATAGATTCCTATTATACAAACTCTAAAATGACTCCTATAATTTTATCTGTCATGCTTAAATACAACATCATGGATGCAAGAACTCCACCAACATTTGATGAAAATCTTCCATTTCTACTCAGTATCTGTGCTAAAAATTATATAAAGTTAATATTGCATAAAAACTGTTGGTGATCTTTGAAGTGGCTGGCTTACAATTTTCAAGACAGAGTTTAGTATCAGAGTGTGTTGGGGAAGGTGGAATCCCCACTGAATAGTTTTTCCTCTTGTCTAGTTGGGTCTGGTGAAAGGAGATTCATTTGATTCAACAGTAATTGTTATCATACCTAATTGTGATTGTCACAACTGTAAAGGTAAAAGTTATATAGCAAAAAGGGGGGAGTAGTTTATCTTATATTTCAGGAACAGAGGACCCTAGGACTATCAAGAGAGAAGAGCAAGAACTGAACATGGAATCCTAATCAGAGAAGCAGTGATACAAGAGATGGAAGCAGAGGTGATGGCATGGAGAGGCTGAGCAGCTTGAGGACTCTAGACTCATGGAGAGAGAAAGCCAGAAGACTGGCTTCCAGAATGTGCCCTTTCATTGTTTAAACAATTATATATTCCTGTGTGGGTTTTTTTGAACATCAAAAAAAGGGGGGTGGGTCTTAGTGAAAGAAATAATCTATTTTGGGGGGAAAAAGAAATGATTCATGCACTAGATGGTAGACACACGTTGACACAGGTGACAAGGCAGGCAATATACAACCAGAGGAAGATTGGCAGAGGAAAGATGGGGATGGAGGGAGATATAGGGAGGAATGCAGTGGTAAAGTGAACAAAGGTAAATGCTGTTAACTGTTGGTGCACTGAGGGGATTACAATCATGTAATGAAGCAAAGTATATGATACGTTGAATGTAAAACTGATGATCTGCTCTGTAAACTTTCACTCAATTCACAATAAAAAGTAAGGTAAGGATGCAAAAATTAAAAAAAAAACAACAACAACTGTTGGTGATCTTAAATAGGAACACTGAAAATCTGGCTCTGAGAAGAGAAAATATACAGCATGTAATGGTGATAAGAAAGGAACTCTGGTAGCGTAGTGGTTACAAATTGGGCAGCTAATCTCACGGGTAGC